GTGCCTGGCTTGTGCCTTTTTGATGGTAGTTTGCTAATGGGCCCTAAAAAGGCCAGAATCTATAACTGGATTTCTGCCCTCCTTCCCTTGATTTCAATGGGATTTGCTGCCGAATTTTGGGTTTTGTGAATTTAAAACTGGATTTGAGAAACCCTGGCAGATTAGGCCCCACCCCCATTAGGCGAAACCTACAGCAAATTGTCAGTGGCTGGTATGGGAAAGATGCAGCTTGAAGATGCCATTGTTGCCATGTTCTTTTAGGTGTTTCATTCTTTGGTTTGGGGGAGGATGAGGAAAAAGATGGACTGAAAACACACTTGGGTAAATGAGGAACCAGATAAAAGCTAGGTTTCATATTTTCTTTCAGATTCTCAGTATAACTACTACTATGAAGACCTTGATTATCCACTGGTCAAGGTACTGGGAGATCCAGTGTATGCTGAAGTTCGGATACTTCAAAAGAATGATCCACAACTCGTCCTTGTGCTGCACCAGTGCTGGGCTACCCCAACTGATGACCCATTAGATGAGATGCAGTGGCCAATACTTGTTAATGGGTAGGTGAAGCTGCAATATGATGTGCACACACTCCATTATGCTGTTAAGTTAACCTGCTCTAATCTAAAACTATCCCATTGGGGTGTGTGTGTTCTTTCTTGACTTCTTAGTATGGTGCAAGTCTGTCTTTAGAGATTTTGAACACCTTCTTGTGCTTATCCAGCAGCACTTAGTTGCAGCCAGTTGGCATTTAAAAAATGAGGACTATGCATGATATGAATTGCACTTCTAGTATTGGTCCTGTACCACAAAGTACAGTTGTAGTATAACAAGTCAATATACTTGCACTGTAGTCCCCGTACATGGCTGTGTGTGGTTGTTTTTTGTTTATTTTGTGTATTTTGGTATATGCTCAGGTTGATGTTGCCACTAATTACTACTAGCACACTTGAGGTCTTTGTAGACTTAAAAGAGAACTATGGGGTAAGTGCTTTCCCCCTATAGTTCTCATAAGGGTCACGGGTGGACATAAACTAGCGTCCTCCCCTGACCCAAAGCTCAGTATATTGCGAGCTACAGCTCGTGGTATACTGAGACTGCCGAAGCCTGGACGGATCCTGACATTACTGTCGAGATCCACCCAGCTGCGTGAGTGACAGCTGGCTCTGCCTATCTAGAGGCAGAGCCAGCTGTACCTGCCCCCTCCCCTGTCCGTTCCTCCAGTGAGCACTGGAGGATCGAGTAGGGGGGAATCCCTGTGGGGAGCGGTGTCTCTGTGGGGAGCGGTGTCTAACAGTCACGGCTCTCTGCAGGGACATGAACGAGATGCGAGCGATGCTATCTGTTCGCTCACTTCCCGACCTATTGAGCCTACGTATGACTGTTTCATTGTCACATGTCGGCTCGAACTATGAGGTTGAGTGAAATTTCACTCACCTCCATAGTTCTTTTTTTATTTTTATTTTTTTTAATGCTCATCAGTATCAATACTTTCTCCTATAGCTGCAGGTGCTGGCTGGAGACCAACTCTTAAAGCATTTTAGTATTGCCTAGCTTTTCCCATAGTACAGTATTCTGTCCGCAATAGTCCCAGCATCCTACCTTAGTCCTTCTAGTACACTGTGGGCATACAGTGACGTGCGTTAATAGCTGCACCAACATGACACCAGGTTATTCCTACACAAAGGGGGGAGCTAAAGTATAATGGTCCTCAATCTTCACTGTAGCTTAGACCTTTTGTGAGTACTTTCAGGCTCTGCTGAGACTATACCTTTTCAGCTGCTAATCAAGACTTCATTAATGTGCAGGTATTCTGCATCCCCATATGCAGAATTTGCTCTTTGTAGTTTACATTTACAGATCCAGTCTGGCTCAAATTCTCTAATGTCCTTTTTTACATTGGGGCTTGTGTTTGATGAGAACCTCACTAGGCTTTGGTCTTGTATCTTTGTTTTGTATTTTCAATCCACTAATATACACGACTGACTTAACTTCAAAGGTAATCAGACAGTTTGGGGTTTATTTGGCATGGACTTTCCCTGTAGTTCGGCTCATACTTTTTGCCTTCATATTTTCCTGAGAGGTTCATATTCCTAGTCTACCGTGTCTGTAATTTCCCAGGGTCTGCTTGGTTGAAGGAGAATTATCTGGGCCTTTTTGTCCTTCCCAGAGTTTAGCTACTTCTCACTTTAACCTTTTCATGTGCTGTCCTAGAAAGACAACTGGGTACAAGTTGCTTACTGGTAACTATTTCCACCAGGACAGCAAGGTTCCCACCATCGCATCGTGTACTTTTGTGTTTTTCCGTTGTATTTATTTTCCATCAAATTTAGGCCCTTTTTGGTTCTCATCTAATACTGACCAGTTCAGCAGAAGGACAACTTTATTTTTGGTGATGGAGTTTCCTATTCCAGTGGGAGGAGGTGCTGTCTAGTAAGACTCCTAGAAATGGTTACGAGTAAAGGTGCCCATACTCTGGCTGAATTTTAGCTGGCATTCCTAAATCAGCTGATTGAGCAAAAATTTTCCAGCAGGCTCCTTCAATTAGTGGTGGCCCAATACAATAGTGGTGGCACAATGCAATAGAAGCAGCAGTGATTCCTCAATCAACCACGTGTTGATAGAGGAACTTCGTCTTTTTTTTTTTTTTCCATTTCAGCCTGCAGGTTGAAAAAAAAAAATAACACTTGTATGGCCAGCCTTAGTCTAACTCTGGTTGGTGGGCTCCCTCTCCATCCTGCCTACATGGTGGGACAGACTGTTGGATACACAGCCCCTAAGGAACAAACTCTCGGCTACTTGCTCTCGCAGCAACTGCTGAGCTCAATGTTCTTTTGTCTCTCAGAAGGTAGACTGGGCAAGCATGTTCTTATAGCTGAGTACAAACTTTGTGAGTGGCTGGGGCCATGTATCCATGGAGTGGGGGGGTGCATCACGGCTACTTTTTTTTTTTTTACTGGAGGGCATTGTTCTACCGTGCCGTGTGTAAGCTGTATATGGATTGAAAGAAAAATCCCAAAAGATGAACTAACCTTTTAAACAAGCAAAAGTGCATGAACTTGCATTGTGCAGTTTACTCTTGATGTGCATGTAAAAGCACTGGTAAATACATTGTTATAATGTATTAAAGACTGCAAACTGTGTTTACAGATTGGGTTCACACAGGACCCACCCTCTGCACCACTAAGATATAAACCGGGGCTTGCTTAGGTGGAGTATGTAAGGGGGAGAGTGCATATCTCCCTATCAAACTCCTCCTGCCTAAGTGAGGGGATAGAACCACTGCCATGTTATCACTGTCTGTGTCCTTGTTAGGGAGATTTTATCTACTTGAGCACCTATGTCAGCAGGAATACATGTGAGGGTAAATACAATTTTTGGATTTGGCCACCTGAACCGCAAAAGAGAAACAATCTTCCAATTAAGTGACTTGTTCTCTTGATGACTTCCCGAGGGGGTTTCCCCTACATTGGTAAGATCCTTACTTACTGTTTAGACTTCAGGATGGGAAGTAACATTAAATCACGCTAAGGAGACAGATGGCAAAAATTGAAAGCAGTTTTAACCACCACCTATTCTTTCCAAATTAGGGCACTTTAGATGTATTTTAATCTAATGCAGTGGGATCAGCAGATGTCTCTAAGAGCCTGTCTTTGTGGGCACGAAAATGTACTAGCCCCGCTGCTTCCTCATTATATTGTGCAGTGACGCATGTGGTTTCACCAACCGTAATGTCTAATCATGCCTGTGTCGTCATATGCAGAGATAGTAGGCTGGGTTTGTCAGCAGGTTTATTTGTATAGCTATGCTGTGTATAATGGGCTTTTATGTAATTGCAGATGCCCATTTACTGGTGACAATTACATCTCTAAGCAAATACCAGTTGATAGGAGCTCAACAGTTATGTTCCCATCACATTACTCCCGCTTCAGTCTAAAGACCTTTGCCTTTGTGGATGAAAAAACTGGTCAAGCCCTCGAAGGCCAGGTAGGCCAAGCTATGAACTTTGTCTTGGATTGGGTTACTGCATTGACGAGGCCAAAATGTACTAGGCATAGTGACCCCAAACTTATCGGTGGCAGAGGCAAAGAGGCATTTTCTCAATGTATAGTTGTGGGGGGAGTTAGACTAATAGTGTAGTTAAACTAACAAACGTCTGATGTGGCCTCCTAAAATATGCCATTGAAAGTTTTGTCACATCTTTAAGCTTAAATTGGGGGGGGGGAAATCTTGTAAACTTTCTGTGCTGTCTGCATGTGCTATACTATGATCAGTTACATTGTTCTTGGTTGGTTATGAGGACTACAGAGCCATGCCCCTTTCATATGGGCAATAGGAAAGTGCTGGTTTCTGTTGTCCTCATACAGAAAGTTGAGGGTGTTCTCTCCGGACTGGAGGTATTACTGGTAGAATGGGGTAAAATAAAGCAAAGCTTGAAAATGGAAAACCATCACCGCTACCACGTCTCAAAGTCTGGTTAGCTGCAATGTGTATTTATTTATGGGTGAGGGGCTTAGCTATGCTTTAAAATGCTGTTTTAATGCTGTGAGATGGGGCTATCCTCCTGCTTGCAGAATTTGCAGTACTTGTAAAATCTACAGTCTATTGCATGTCCTCCTTGCTATAGTACCAAGAACTAAACCTCTTTAGCTGTTTTTTTTAAAAAGTGTACAGTCTACCATATTTTGTAAAGCACCACACAAGGTGTTGGCACAATATAAATCTTGTATAATACAACACTAAAGCTATGACCTGCACTTCATATCTGGCTATTCTAGGTGTACACACACTGCAGTGCTTCAGCATGTATAGCCAGCCTTGAAAAGACCTGCATGACGATGTGTTCTAGAAGTAAGTTCTTCTACTGGTATTTTTAACACTGCTGTTATCTTGTATGTGGCTGGGATAATTGAACACCAAGGCCCAGGTTAGGTGTAAGCGACCCATGAAACTAAATGCCTCTAGGAAGCTAGATGGATGAGCAAATGTGTTAACGTTCCATTCGACCCACATTACAAAATTCTAATCTAGACTTGGTGTGCATGGCTGTACCAGTTTATTATCTGAGCAGCCTTAAAACAAACTTGCTAAGCTCTCAAACTTAAAAATTCAACTCCAATATCCATAATATGGAATCTTCTTAAAATCATCTGAGGTGTACATGGATACCGGCGCCCTCCATTCATATGGCCTGAACGAAAATTTAAAAATGAACACAATGCTATAGTAAGACTAGGCCTGCCATAGGAAGTGGTAGTGTTGGCACCTTGCATGCAGCAGTGGCTCAGAAGAATGGTTGCATGCAGAAGCTACACAACAGGTGTTCACAGCTGGCAGGAGGGACATTTCACACAGGCAGGTGGCGCAACATTATTGGCTTAGCAGAATACTTAGGTTAAGGAACCAAGCGACAAACTTTGCTCAGAGAACAATAGTGTGTTTGTGATTCTCTGAAAATGTACTCCTGCACATTGTAAAAATATTAATGTAGCGTTAGACTTCTGTGCAAGCATGTGTAGCGCTCCCCCTTCCCGGTCAGCGCTATCCCAGCACAGGATAACACCACCGGTGGCTCTGCAGGGGATGATCTACAGTAAAACGAACAAACGGGTCTCCCTGTCTTCCCTTCTATAAGAAACCTCTATTATGGATCCACAGCACACCAGCACACCTTGAGTACTAGGGTTGGTTGATATGGGTTACAACTCCAATTCTTCTTGTCTAGGGATAATATTGCTCGCTTTGCCATCAGCACTTGCCGCCCTCTTGAATCATCGCTTTGAAGTGAGGTCCAGACAGTTGTTATGATGCTTGAAACATTTATTGAAGAACTCCAGGGAGAGAGAGGAGAAGGGTTAGGATCATCAAGAAAGATGTAGACTCTGGCTTTTCTGAGTGTGGTTACTGCTTAAGCACCTGACACTGCATCATTTGAGGTAGAAGTTACTGATCCTTGACTTCAGTAGTTACCACTGAACCTGCCGCCACCAGGCTCCAGGGTGATTTTCAAGGCTAGTCCCCAGGCTTTTAGGGCCTAGCCAGCTCAGGCAGTCCAGTGCAGCCTCCCCGCAGGCTGGGCCTGGGGGAGAAAGGGAAAACTCACATGGTCCACCCCAAGTATTTATCTCCCCCCCCCCCCCCCCTCCCCCCCCCCCCCCCCCTCCCCCCAGCATGCACCACTGGCTATCGTTCAACAGTAATTGGCTGGGGAGGGATACCTACTCCATAGCAATCCCATGGGTTGCTTTGTTCCATCACCAGGGCGCACCTTGTAGTACCTCTGGCAGCAGACGGATAGCAAGCAATGATAAATTGTTCAGGGGGAAAACCACATGAACTAAGACTACACATGAAAGATGCTACTGCTGTCAGTTCTGAAAATCTGAGATGGCTCCTCTCATGCTGATCTGATGGATGAAATGGTGTATTCATATTTCCTTCAAAGCAGTTTTTTTAATGTTGTGGTTTTTTTTTTTGTTTGTGTGGAATTATTTTATTTTGCGATTTAAACATGTTCTCTGCTTGTGTGTAACCATGTAACAAATTTCTAATCCTGCTTTTCTTTTCTACAGCAAAAAGGTCGAGAGTCCTTTTGGAGAACAGAGGGACTGCTCTGGTCTCCTCAGCAACCCCGGTTTACTTTGAGACATCACTGCAAAATGCACGGAAGGAGCTAGGTAGGTGGAAAGGTTGGTGTGCTTCCTGCTTTGCCCTCCGCCAATCACTGGGGATCCTACCAGTCATTAAGGAAGTAACTGTAGTACTGTAGGGAGTAACTTGGTATCGTTGGCCCAAACTGCTTTGTGCCTTTTTATAATGTGACCATGGGCTATTTATTTTTAACTGGTAACAAAACCAGTTCAATGTTTCCACAGGGTGATTTATGATAAAGTCAAATCTGACAACAGCATTATTGCCCTCTGTGACAGTGCAGTATCAATGTGTAAATGGACATGGATCATATTCCTCCTGCACACCATACTGGAACGGACCATGTGGTTAAGAGGATGTTACACTGCGGTCAGCTGGGAATCGTTGCATTACATTGATTTAAGATGTCACCAGCACACCAACAAGCTTGTTTCAAAGTGAAAAGCTTTATTCTTGTATGGTCACCTTGAAGTGACTCTTTGGGACCACACAGGGACACTTCCTCAGGCATGTGATTTCTATGCGATCATAAAAGAATAGTTTCTCCCTTTTGAAACAAGCTTGTTGGTGTGCTGGTGACATCTTATCCATGTTTTATATGGACTTCAATAAAATCCAACTCCAGCCTTCACCTCCTCAGCCTACACTTCTTAAGCTGTTATGGCAACTTTCTTTTTACTGTAGGGGAAGGGGGCATGGAGAGTTTAGGCCGCATGACTTAAATCCAACCCTTGTAAGCCGCCAGGCATGTTGTATTTCTCCCAACCACCAATTTTTCTAGATGGCTTGGTCTATTACAGGAATCTGTTCTCTAATGTCACAATTTGTAGACTTCTACAATCCACCAGAAAACTTGTGTCGCCCACAAATTAAGTTATATCTGTGTGCACCAGAAATAACAATGGTCTCAGAGCTCGCCAATCTAAAAAGATGTATATACACTCTCCCAGGCACCCCCTCACTTCTCTCTCACCTGTGGTGCCATGCATGCACCTATACCTTTTGAACACAGGTTGAAACAGTGGAACAGCACACTGACACATTCTCTACACTTCCAGGTCCCAAAGAGGCTTACTTCATATGTAGACTTTCACCCGTCCATTAGAACTCTCTTTAACATTAAAGAAAGCTGGACATCAGCTGGGCCTCACACAAGAACTGCCTCTTTATCCTACTTGAGAAACAAAATTACCCTAGGCAACCCCTTGAATATTCCCCTTGCCATTATTTCAAGCGACTCTGATCATTTTCTTCAGATGTTGGACAAATCAATTCAGTACACTTGATTTATATAGATGTATATCTAGATATCTATATAGATATATTTTAATTATTTTTTCTGTGTGACTTATTTGATTTACTTTTCATATCTTTAAAATCTTTCATCTTCCACTTTCAGTTCTCCTATATGCTTGCTGATGCCCCATTACTTTACACCTTCTCCCTTTTTTTTTGTTTAGCAGTCCATGGAGTCCGAAGACTGTCCCAGGCAAATGATCAGATGAACATCTCATTGGTGATCCTGGGGATTTTGGGGGTTTTGCTCTTGACTCTTTCTATCTGGGCCTTTAACAGACGGCACAAGTCTAGGTCTCTGCTCATCAGCAAACCACCCTCTGTGGAAAAGTCCATACCTATCAGGACTGTATCCGGTGAAGTGGTCATGTCTTGAAATGGTTTTGCTTTGTTGTAGCTGATGGCTCTTGCTTTGTGCAGTGGAAAATGGAAGCCTGACAAAATTGAAATGGACTTGTTGCAGGTGAACTCACTTTCATTGCACCAAGCCCTAGTAGACCCACATCATGGTGGCTGCAGGTTGACCACCTATCGCATTACATTGTGAGAGTCACTTACCTTAGCAGTCATAGGGTAAATTGTGTGGCCACAACCATGTTGATCATGGGGGTGCTGGGTATTCTAGAGTTTAAGGCAAAAATGCAACAGAATTGGGAATATTTTAAAGCAAACCTGTTTTCTGTCTAACATTTCAGCATGTAACAAAAATAAATGACTATATTCAATGCCTAGTCTTATTTCACTAAAGCTGCTTCCTGGTCACAAGAAAAACTGGTGTAGTGAGCTGTATGGAATAGTCTGTTGTATAGTTGGAGCAAACAACTAATTGCTCCTTCTTCTCTCTCTCCCCTCGGCCCGCAATGAGCACTAGCCACAAGGATGGATTAGTAAGGTCTGCACCAGCCAAAGGTGCAGACTGTACAAATCAACTACTGAACCACCAGGAAATGTGCTCCCTCCCTGCAAAAATCGGGGCTGTTTCTTTTTTTTTTTTTTTTAGGGTGTTTATCATTTTTGTGTATTGGTGGGCAAGTGAACCTGTTG